GTGCAGACAGAACATGGCTAAAGCCTGGAACGGTCTTGATCTTTAACCAAAACAGCCAACAGAGATCCAATGATAGAACCAGAAAATGTCAGAGCAGGTCAATTATTTTGTCTACCTTGTTCTTATTACAAATGAGGAAAGAGAAATGAAGGGACTTAGCCTACATCAAGTGGTCAATAAAGTGACAGAGCCAGTCTAGAAATTCAAGTCTTCTGACTCTTCATCAAGGAGGAGATAATGAAGATGAGAAACATTCTGTTCCAAACACTAACCAAATCATATTAATGATAATTAATTAAAGCCACTATTCTCCTTGATTCAGTTCAGAACTGTTGGCATATCATTAAAAAATGTTACATCCAGAAGCAACTTTAGAGATCATCAAGTCCAACACAATCATTTTTACAGAAAAAGAAACCAAGACTCAAAGAGAGGAACTGACTTGTCCAACTCCTGGGGAAATGCTTGCTGTGAGTCATCGAAGCCAACAAAATCATCTGATGGTTAAAGGCAGTAGCTGAAGCTAAAGTCATATCCATAGTCCAAAAGTGAGACAGGTGGACCCCAAGGTGTTCCCTCACAATTACATGGTTTTGCCTCTAATTTTACTTTTCTAGGGGGGGAACTCCATTTGGAAGAGTGTTTCTAACACAGTCCTACCCATTTATCCCAATTAGACCCCAGACTCCTGGAGGGGAAGAAACAATTTGTTTTTTAAATATTGTACCTTCAGTCATGTTACCATTGCTTCTGAAAAGGGCATGATGATTCACCATGCTATGGCTCCATAAGAGTTCCTGTGATTCTGAGTTGCAGATAGTCTATTCCTAAGCCACCACACCCTGCTCCCTCATACACACCTATGTCATACCCATCCCTCTCAGATCTCTATTCCTTACCTTGCACCCCCTGGAACTCATTCTGTGGCAAGTTAAACTAGTAGTATTCCCTCCCTCAGAAATTATTTTTGCTTTTGTCTTTGATTTTAAATGTATGCCTTGTTTCTCTGCCATCCCACTCCCAAAAGAATGGAAGCTCACTGAAACCAGGAACAGTTTAAATTTTGTCTTTTTATCCATACTACCTAGTGCTGTAAGCAGCACATAGTGAACACTTGATAAATGCTTATGGAATTGCATTGCTTGACACAGTGAGTGCATCTCACATAGGAGGCTATTAATAAATGTTGAATTAAGGTCTGTCGGCAGAAACTATATCATTTGCAAATGATCCTGCCCACCTATCATATGGCAGATAGGACCTGACCAGGTGCAGAGAGGTGCTTGATTTAGGCTTAAAATATATCAGCATTGAATTTTTAAGCACTTTCAGTCTGAAAATGAAGACAGTCAAGGTGTGGGATTTTTAATCTTCATTTAATTAACAGTATGGTTAAAATATTGAAATTAATTGTAAAGCCTTTGAGTTTAAAATTCAGTGAAACAGGTTTTTAGATCATTGCTTTTCAAATCAATAAAGGATTTTTAAAAAAAAATCTTTGTTTTTAAGCCCTTGAACAATTCTCTGTACTTGGACAGCTCTTATTAACCCTTTTGCAAAAAAGGGTTTTGCTTTCTACATATAGATCTGAACACAGCCTCCTTTCTTATTTCTTCCTGCTCTTCCCATCCTTTTCTTAAAGGGGCCCTACAGAATTTTCTTGGCAGTGCTTGGACCATCCCACTTTTCAGAAAAATTCCAACTATTTCTGTACCTTCTGGCCTCTTAGGTTAAACCATATCACCTTCACCACATCAGGGAATTCTTTTTTTCAACCTAACCTAAATCCCTCTCCTCTTTCCTACTATTTCATGATCCAGTCTTCTCATTCCATCCTCAATAGACTCAACAGGATGAGAGGGTCACTATCTTCCCTGAAGCTTATGGACAGCAATGCTACCATGCTCCTCAGCTCCCCCACATCTGTGGGATAGGAAGCAGTGAGGAAGAAAAAGATAGAAGGTCTGCATCATACTTCAAGCTCTCTGTGGACCCCAGTTCTTTGTCAGCACCCTGAGCCAGGCCATTACCCATTCCCTGAGGGGAAATTCCAGCATTTAAAGGAAGTGATGGAACATGCCTCTCGGGTGGCATGATGGACTCTAGGATGCCAACATCTCCTTTTGCAAAAGAGCTATGGCCCTCATGAGACATTATTAATGGACCATTCCACCAGGACAGGAGGAAACTGGGGAAAGACTGATGAGAGCAAAGGGTACATTAGAAATTTCTTCTCCTTATGGAAAGCAATAGGAGACATTCACAGAGCTTGCCTCCTTCTGGTGGCACAAAGAACATTCCATTTTCAGGCTGGAGCCCCAATCCCACTCCACCCTCCACCGTCTCTCACTAATCCCGCTTTGCAGTTCAGGTGGCATCATTTTACCTCTGCTCCATAGGGACCCACAAGAACTAATGGACATCTGCTTATAGCTCTGTAGCAGCACAGAGAGACCAGCTTTGAATTATCTAGCCACAGGCACAGTAAAAAGACACAATGTGGGATGGGGATGGGGATAATAGCTGGGCTTTGCTTTCATCAACCCCAATTGCAGAGAACAGCAGGGAAACTAAAGTCAGCCTTGGCAAAAGCATAAGGCAAAGTTTATATTTGCCCCCTCCTCTTTCATGCAGTCCATTCCCTTAAAATCATATTCACTGGAGGAATAATTCATTCACAATAAGGGGTAGGGACTTAACTTATTACTCTATCCAGAAGAATCAACATTTTTTTAAATTTTATTTTTATTTTATTTTTTTTAAAGAATCAACATTTTTGAAGGAATCTTTTTAAATGAGTAAGCCAAAGGAATGTGTTTCTAATGGTGGAATCTCAAGCACTCCAGTATCCAGGTAGGGCAGATAAAACGTTGGAAGCAATGAAGTCTTCCAAGAGTAGCTCAGATCATACCAAATAGATATAGAGCATTGAACATGGTCAGGTTGGGGAAATCAAAATGGATCCTTAGGTTCCTGGTAGAAGGAGAATAACTCAGAGATCCATGATCAGACTAGAAGGGTCTGTTCTAACACATACACCTTGTCCTTCCCTTCCCCTTCCTACCCCCGTGTTCTCTCCGGGTGGTTAACTAAGGAAGTCAACTTGTGGATTTCTTCTTGTTCTCAACTCTAGTAGTACATCTCCAGCCAAGGAAAGTGGTCTGCCATCTCCTATCACAACCCTTAAACCGATATAGTGACTACCAAGTTCTTTCTTACATCGTTGTCCCAGATGCCCTGGAAGAAAAGGGGGCCACCCTGCCAGTTTCAACCTTGCCCATGGTCCCTTCTCCCTCAACGCTTACTCCAGACCAGTACTTGGAAATGAACCCCAAATGGCCTTATCATTGCCTCCCCACTAAAACAGTGGACAAACATCACTAGCCAACCCTTTCTTTTCCCTGGATTTCTTCTAAACCCCAGCCCGCAAAAAACCACCCAAGAATAAAGCTGTTTCAAAATCAAAGGTAAGGTGTGTGATGGGGTAGGGTGGATGTAGGACAGAGAATAAATCTAGTGATTGGTGTGGGGAGAAAAAAATACATTACCACAAAGGAAGCGATCTTTCCCAAGTTATGGAGGTGGGATTGGGAGTCCTCCCTGCCCTCCCCACCCCACTCCAAGCAAACCAATTCCTTCTCCTGGGGGAGGGGTAAGAATATCAATAATATCGTTCCTTGTGGAAAGGTTAAAAGTGGGGGAGGGAGGAGTCTGCAGGTGACTGGTGTGACCGGGGAGGCTAGCAGCAGTCAACAAGGGCACCGGGCTAGCTTTCTATTTGCCAACCAGAAGGTCCAGGTATCCACTCCTAAAAAAATTTTAAAATACAAACTTATGATCCAGATGGGCACTGCCTGCTGCTGCCACTGCCTCCAGGAGGTGGCCAAGGAGGCACGGTGTCACTGATCTCCCCTGACTCCCTGGGGACAACTTAGGATAACCCACATCAGCCCCGGAGCTAGCCGCCCTCAGCCACACAGGCTTTGCTCTGAGGATGCCCGCTAAACATAGTGGACTCCCAGGCACCCCCGGCCGATGGCACCTACCCCCAGGACCCTAGATCCTCCTGAGGGAGGGGGTGGGGACTGAGCACAGCTTTGCCTTTGGCAGCCGCGGCTCCTGAGACACCCCCCCCACCAGATCTGCCCAGGTGCCAGGCACCGTCGTCCCGCCCCACTCTGCCACTCCACCGTGCCCGATCCCGAGTCCGAGCTCTCGAGTTGGGAAGGAGAGAGAGGAGCACCCGAGAGAAAAAGGAGAGGGAACGAAGCAGGCGAACAAGCGAAAGAGCAGAAGGGCGGCAGGGCTGGGCGGCCCGCAGCTGCTCACTTGCCACCCTGGTCACACATAGACGGACCTTAATCTGTTCGCCTTGTTCATTCCCCCGGAGCGGGCTAGCCAAGTACTGCCACTTCGCTCACGATCTCGGGGCTAAGAACTGGGAGGACGGGGATGGTGGGGCAGGAAGTTTCTCCCCTTCCCAATCCAGAGCATAAGGAAGAAGAGTTCCCAGGTAGCAGCAACCGGGCGGCCAAGTTGCCGGAGTCCACTCGCTAGCCAACCTGCTCAACCGCCCGCGGGGCAGGCCTCCCCAGGGAGCGCTAGTGCCGCCCGACCGAGCTCGGGGGAAGAAAGGTGCACAAGCCTGTCCAGGCCCGGGCAGGGGAGCGGCGCGAGGCCCGCTTCTGGGCTGCTGGGGGTGAGGGGAGAGAGAGATGGAGCGGGGAGGATAGCGGGGAGAAGGCACGAAGCCGGTCGGGTGCTGCGGGCAGACGGACAGGCAGCCGGCAGCCAGCCGGCAGGCGAGAGGCGCACGCGGCCCCAGGGAAGGGCCAGGAGCACCAGGAACAAGTGGTTGGTTCCTGGGCTTGGACCAGGAACAGAGGCTGCAACTTCAAAGGCTTTTCAGCAGAGAGATGACAGCGGGAGAGCGCGGGAGCTAGGAGGCTGGGAGAGGGCGTGGGGCAGGGAGCAAACCAAGTTGCCTTCACTGTACCTACCTTCAGTCTGCCTAGCGGGAGCGCCGCGCCTCAGGGGTCTCTGCTGTTTTTCTCCTTCGCCTCCGCCGTCGCCCCGATGGCCCCTGACTGGGGAACTTCGCTCGGTCCGCTCCGCCGCTTCCCGAGGGGAGGAATGAGCATCCGCGGGGTGCACCCGGGGAAGAAGAGGACTCCCTGTCCCCCGCCCGACTGGAGCTTCTTGTCCGCAACTTCAGGACCGCGGCGCACACGAGCAGGGCGGGACACAGGCGTCCGCGGGCTCCGATCGAGGGTTCTGGAGCCCGGGGCCGCCGCTGGACATCTCCCCGGACAAGCAGCCCTCCGCCCACCGGGCCGGCCCGGCTGAGCCCTCGATCCGTTCCGCGTCCCCAGCCCGGGTGGAGTCAGTCTAGCACGGCCCCACCCCCGGTTCAGGGCCCCTCTGCCGTCGGACGAGTCCTTCGGTAAACCATCGCTGGCCTACGAGCCCCGATCCTCGCCGAGCCGCGGCAGGCACAAGTCCACGAACAACTTTCCCTCGCTTCCTCCGCCCCTCTGTCCCCCCAGACCCCGCCTCCTTGACGCTACCCTCACCTTCCCTTTACACACACACCCCCCACCTCCGTCTCCACCTCCTTTTCTTCCTCCTCCTCCAGCAGAGCTGGTACCCCAAGGGAGCGGCTGTCCCCCGCGCTCCCGCGGGGCACAGCTCCTGAGCCGAGACCCCCAGTCCGGTCCCCAGGTGGGGCAGCTTGCCCAGTGAGTAGGGCCACTGCTTCCCCACCCCCCTCCCTGGCTGCGGAGGGGGGCGCGGCTGAGAAGCCCAAGCGAGGCGGTGGCTCTGGTCTCTCAGGGCATGAATATTTCAGTGCGAGTTAAACTGCCCTCGGCTGATGTCACGGTACTTGCTGCTTTGCTAACTCTACGTGTCGGGCGCCCCAAAGAAGGAAAGGGAAAAGAAGAAAAGACTGGCCCAGGTATTATAAGCTGGAGCCTCCAGAAGACTCCCACCTCAGCCAAGAGGCCAGGGGCCAAAGGGGATGGAATGGCAAAGCCTAGCCTTCCCTCCCCACCCCCATCCCCTCCAGTGTCGCCTCCAGGCTGAATCCACAAGGAAGCACTACCTAAGGAAAACAGGGACGTGGGGCCTGTCTAGGTGTGCTAGCTCTATCTGTTGGCTTTAAGCGCCCCCTCTCTGCTCTGGGAGTTGGTGAGACACTGAGAGAAAGACACAGGCAGGCACCGCAGGCAGGCACACCCGACTGAGCTCTCCGACCCCGCTGGCTCCCTGGAAATAAGGCGAGTTCACTCTTAGCCCTCACCCTTCTCCATTCTACACACTCCACCGCCCCCTTGCTGAAACGCTCTTTCCATAATTTTATCACCATGTCTTCAAAAAACAACAACAAACACCTCAAACCACAATAGTAAGGCAAAGAATCACAGAATCTTAGCGTTGGAAGCGACCTTGGAGGCACAAGATTGCACGCAGTTGTACACATTTAACGAACGTTCAATCACAAGATCTTAGTAACTAAGCATTTATTAAGCGCCTACTATATTCCAGGTACTGAGTACTAAGTGCTGGGGATACAAAGAAAGGCAAAAGACGGCGTCTGCACTCTAGGAGTGCAGTCTAATGGGCAGGGGGCAGATCAGATTTGGTCTTTACCTTAAGTCATCTAGTCTAACCTATCTCTCAATTCGAGTACCTACGATAGATGGAAACGCTGGGCCCGAACCAGCAAAGTGAAATTTACCCAGGATAGAGGTAAAGTCGTTCATCTTGGTTCACAGGTACAAGGACGGAGGAGACGCGTTGACAAAAATTCCTGTAGCATCCTGAATAAGGGGCCACTCAGCCGGCACTGACATAGTACTTTCAAGTTTCTGATTGACTTGGCATAAAATATTTTATTTGCATGTAAGTATTAATAGTTCCATTTTAAAGATAGGGAAGCAGATACTCAGATTTCTAATTGCCCCACAGCTGACAAAGTCTTAAGTCAGAATTCCAATCCAAATAATCTTGATTTCAAGTCCTAAACTCATTCCCAATGCCAGTTTACCTCTTTTTTTTTTCACAGTTCCAGTGACAGGGAGTTTACTCCCTAATTTTAAAATGCATTTACTGTTGCCTTTTGCTTTTACAACAGTCATTTCTGGAAGAAAATTTAAAAAAAAACAATATTTCCTCTCCCCCCCCATCCATATATCAAAGAACCTCCCATATATCAAAGCAAAAACAACATAAACACTCAATACAGTGACCTCACTTGACCATGCATATTGCATTCTGTCCTGGTAGCCCCCCACCCATCCTATGTTTCATTATCTCTTCCCTGAAATAATCATTGATTCCTTTCAGTGATCTTTTCATTTACATTGTTGGAGTGATTACATATATTGTTCTTTTGCTTATGTTTATTTAAATCTTCATCAGTTCACAAAATTGCCCCATGTTTCTCTTAATTCTTCATACTTACTGCATAATAATATGCTATTAGATTCATAGAACCACAGATTCCCACCCCCCACCATCCTCCAGTGGATGGGCACCCATTTTGTTTTCTGTTTTTGTTTGTTTTTTTTGCTACCACAAAAAGGAGCCCACTACTTATTGAGTCAGTGTATTCCAATGATTAGATATCTCTAATTGTTAGGCAGTCTTGCTTCATGTGGAACAGAAAGCTGTCTTTTTGTACATGTCTTCCACCCACTGGTCCCAGGTCTGTCCATTGGAGCCCCACAGAATAATAATGGTACTCTGCATGGTAGCCCTTCAAGTACTGAAAGACAGGTCTTCTGTCCCTCTAAATTTCCTGTTATCCAAGCTACATATCCTGGATCCATATTGTTTACCTTCATCTGGCTCCTCTTTAGGAAACATCATAGTATAGAATGGAGAAAGTCATAGACTAAGTAATCAGAAGAAAATTCAGGTCATCACCACCACCACCACCCTCTTTCTGGCTCTGTGACTATGTGACTTTGGTCAAGCCCCTCTATCTCTTTGGGCCTCAATTTCCTCACTGGTAAATTGAATGGACTGGATGAGTTTATCTCTCGGGCCCCTTCTAGCCTGAGACTTCAGGTTTTCAAAATATCATAAAATGTGGTGCTCAGAATTGAATACCATACTTCAGATGCAGTCTTCTAGGGCAAAGTGCAATCAGACTTCTCTCCCTAGCTCTAGGGTGTCTAGAGTCTCAGCAAAGAGTCATAATCTCATTGATAAGGGCACTCCCTTAGACAATCAATCAAATATCAAAAAGTATTTATTAAGCCTGCACAGGGTCTGGGGATACAAAGGCACAAATAAGACAATCCCTTCCCTCAAGGAGTTTGTACGCTACTAGGAGTGTTGCTACATGTATCAGAGAACAGTGAGAGAAAAGAATCTAGACAATTATAGACAGTGCTCAGTCAGTCAACAAACATTTATTAAGCACTTACTATGTGTTGGGCACTGTGTGTTGGGGTATTAAAAAAGAGTTAGCTCATTCTAATACAATAGACAGTGTGGAAATAACTAAGTACATACAAGTTCTATACAGTGTAGGTGGAATGTGATCTGAAAGGGGAGGCACTAGGAGCTGAAGAGGCCCTGAAAGGCCTCCTGGAGTAGGTGGGATTTGATCTGACTCTCAAAAGAAGACTAGGAAGGTAACTGGTGGAAGTGAGAGGACAGCAGATTGTCACACCATTTCCCATAGCAATGGAAATATTGATTCGATTATTGTACCCTAAGTAAGAGGTGGAAAGCAGGGGGCAGAATTAAGGTCTGATGACAAGATGCTCACAATGGCTAGACCCCTGGTATTCTGTATATTGGAGGACTGTAGGGTGAAATACCAAACTCCTCCAATGTCTTTTTTATAGAGGGAAGAAACTGGTCTTTTTGGTTCATTCCACTCTGGATCTGCTGCTCTGTCTAGTTTCAACTCCACAGAACAAGATATCCCCTGTTCTTTCCTACCCCCTCACCACTCTCCTGTCTCCTTTTGTGTGTTGTCTCCCCCTTCCAATATTTGTAAGCTCCTTGAGGGCAGAGACTGTCATTTAAAAAAAAATTAATTGTATCCCCAGCACTTAACACAATGCCTGGCACATAGTAGACACTTGGATTGGATTGAATGGGATGATTCATGGTCTGGGCACTGCTGGATTTTAAGGGTTGCAGTGACAATTGACTCATTCCTTGTCCAATCCAGGACAGTTTGGCCCCAGATTAGTTGCCAAAGTGAATTAATTGAGGAGTGAGGGGCAGAGTCATTGAAGGTGATACTCAGGAAAGTCACTGTTCCTAGAGAGTAGAGTGAAGAAGACAGTCCACTTATGTCTTCTCATGCTCTCTGATTCTTGTTCATGATGTCCCATGACTTCATCACAAAGAATCTACACAATGTATTGGGATCCTTAATGTAACATAGATATCAGTGTCATGCTGCTGGGCCTTGCTTTAGATATATGTATGACTAATCCACTTCTTTGAGTTTTTAAAAAAATATTTATACCTTTTGTTTTTACATCTACATTTCCCAGTATAGCCCTGCTTTGTCTAAAAGAGTCATCCTTTATGATAAATAATAAGAAAGAGAGAAAAAACAGTTCAGCAAAATGAACCAACACCTCAACCAAAGTCCAGAATTGTATGTATCCATAGTCCTCCACCTCTGCAAAGAAGGGAGGTAGGTATTTTTTTAAAGGTTTTATTGTTATTTTTGTTTTTACATTACAAATATTTTCAAACTCTCACTTCCTGAGAAGTGTAATGTAAAATATTACATTACAAATATTTCCAACCTCTCACTTCCTGAGAGATCTCTTGTAATAAAGTAAAATAGTTAAGTAAAACTAATAATACAGTGACTTCATCTGAAAGTTCATAAAACATTTCATGTATGTTAATTTTTATTAAATATTTTAAGTGAATAAAATCTATTTTTCTCTACTTTCCACTCTCACCCCATTAAAAAAAGAAAAAAGCAAATTTCTTGTAACAGACCTGCATAGTCAAACAAAACCAGTTTCCCCAATGACTATGCAAAAATATATGTCTCATTCTAAATGTATCACCTCTTTATAATGGATAGTATATTTCATCACATGGCTTCTGGAATCATGAATAGTAATTGTATTGATCAGTGTTCTTAGAGTTTAAACTTGGAGAGGGGATAGTGAAGAAAAGGTTAAAAGGAGAAAAAGGAAAGGGTAATAACTTGAAATAAACAAGGAGAGAGGAGTAGAGAAAAGAAAAAATT